CTCTTGTGGTGATTTACAGAGTTTGTTACCAGTTACTTTAGAGGCTAACACTGCTAACAGTAGCTGCCGCAAGCTAGTTAGCTCAGTTAGCTGTGCAGCTAGCTGTCCTATCAGCTGATTCTGCCCGGAATGGAAGCTGGTGTTTACAGGTGTTTAGTACACGAGCTTTGGACTGCTGGATTACTCAGTTACAGTTAGTAGCCGCTAGCTGTTACTGTAGCATTAGCAACATGTAAAGCTATCTGTCATCAGGAAACTTCATAACTTACGGAGTTGAGGCAGAGCAGCCAGAGGACATCAGAGGGAAAACCACTAAATCTTTCTTTCATAAACGTAAAAGCACTTTATGAGAGACATACTGAACAACCTCCATCTCTAGCGCAGTGGAACAACAGCTTGGTGTTGTGTTGGACGGTGGGGCTGAGAGCACTGTGTTCAGTACGTGTTCCGTTGGCGAGACCATCTACTGTGCTGAAGGGCTGGAGGAGGTCCAATCCTAAACAGATCCCTCCATGTCAATAAGGGAGGCAAATTGTGTAAAATTGTCAAACTGTGTTTACTGAAAGACTGAGCAGGAGAAAAGGAGAGAGTTTTTTTTCTCTCATAGTCTGGGAGTCTTTAGACACACATATTTTGATTGAAAAGACATGGAAAAGTGGATTTCATATAATATGGGACCTTGAAGTTTCCTTAAGAAATACAAAGCTTGTGTACATAAGCACACGGTGTGTGCCTTGATCTGTCCAAAGAAGATGAGGGGCGATAAGGGCGCTAAAGATAGTGGTTGCTGCCACACGGACCACTGGTCGCTACCACTAAGGGCGCTAAAGATAGTGGTTGCTGCCACACGGACCACTGGTCGCTACCACTAAGGGCGCTAAAGATAGTGGTTGCTGCCACACGGACCACTGGTCGCTACCACTAAGGGCGCTAAAGATAGTGGTTGCTGCCACACGGACCACTGGTCGCTACCACTAAGGGCGCTAAAGATAGTGGTTGCTGCCACACGGACCACTGGTCGCTACCACTAAGGGCGCTAAAGATAGTGGTTGCTGCCACACGGACCACTGGTCGCTACCACTAAGGGCGCTAAAGATAGTGGTTGCTGCCACACGGACCACTGGTCGCTACCACTAAGGGCGCTAAAGATAGTGGTTGCTGCCACACGGACCACTGGTCGCTACCACTAAGGGCGCTAAAGATGGTGGTTGCTGCCACACGGACCACTGGTCGCTACCACTAAGGGCGCTAAAGATGGTGGTTGCTGCCACACGGACCACTGGTCGCTACCACTAAGGGCGCTAAAGATGGTGGTTGCTGCCACACGGACCACTGGTCGCTACCACTAAGGGCTCTAAAGATAGTGGTTGCTGCCACACGGACCACTGGTCGCTACCACTAAGGGCGCTAAAGATGGTGGTTGCTGCCACACGGACCACTGGTCGCTACCACTAAGGGCGCTAAAGATAGTGGTTGCTGCCACACGGACCACTGGTCGCTACCACTAAGGGCGCTAAAGATGGTGGTTGCTGCCACACGGACCACTGGTCGCTACCACTAAGGGCGCTAAAGATAGTGGTTGCTGCCACACGGACCACTGGTCGCTACCACTAAGGGCGCTAAAGATAGTGGTTGCTGCCACACGGACCACTGGTCGCTACCACTAAGGGCGCTAAAGATGGTGGTTGCTGCCACACGGACCACTGGTCGCTACCACTAAGGGCGCTAAAGATAGTGGTTGCTGCCACACGGACCACTGGTCGCTACCACTAAGGGCGCTAAAGATAGTGGTCTGTGTGGCACATTGACTGTATATAAAAAAGGTGTGGCAGCAACCCTAAGACTATGGAGCCTCCCGTCATGCCCTCCTTCCTGGTTAGCTAGGTCTTCTTCATACTTTGGTGTTTATTAACTGAACAGTAACGGCAATCATGTGCTTGAATAAAATACTATATTAATTTTCAGGCCATTAAAGCTTGTTTATAAAAGTTTGATAACTTCACAATTTATAAATTTTGTAGTCGACATTTTAGTAGATATAATACTAGGTGTTATAAATGTTTGTCTTTCTTATAAACTTAGTTAGCCATTTATCTTTTCAAAGTATTATTTAAGATTTCAAAAAGCCTCCATTTTTTATGTTGCATAGGGTATCTTTCCTTAAATAATGACATTTGTTCCTCCAAATGAAATTAAATAAGATCTTATCTAATTCTTTGTGTATTTCAGTAGGTATTTCCAGTGATAAGGATACATAGATCTGGATCCCTCATCCACCACATTTTGGAACCTTTTCATTATTTGTTTAATCATAGGCCTGAAGTTTAGGTTATTGCAGAGTTTTTCATTCTTATCACCATTGGGGTGGTGGTGGCGCATAGATAAGTTGCCTTTGGTGTGGGAGACCTGGTTTCAATTACCACTGTGAGACACCATTGTGTCCCTGAGCAAGACACTTAACCCCTAGTTACTCCAGAGGCGTGCGACCTCTGACATATATAGCAATTCGCTTTGGATAAAAGCTTCAGCTAAATTAATAAATGTAAATCACACCCAGGTATGTAACTGGGTTCTTCACAGGATACCATTAACTTCTTCACAGTTCTTAAGTGGTAGTGTAATAAACAGATTTGTTCAAGGTCATTCTTAAGCCTGAGACTCCTCAACACATCTAATTGCTTTAATCCATTCCTCTCTATTAGACAAAATAAATTTATCATCTGCCAGTTGAGATAATTTAAAATTATCTAAGGTCACTTAAGGCCGACTTTGGAATCACAGACTGTATTAAAACTTGAAACTAACCTTTTCTTAATGTCACAATCGTGGTCACAATTTCTGTGACAAGGAACAGAGAGGGGCCTTCCCTCAGAGACTGTGGTAGCGGCCGGTGGTCCGTGTGGCAGCCTAGCAGCAAGGCAGCGACCAGACCACAGGATTGCCTACAAACCCTGCTGAAGAAGATCCGACTCTGGTGGGATTTCCCCGTGATGTAGAATAGCAGGTGTCGGAGGTACAAATACTCCCAGAAACTATTTATGGGCAGATTGTATTCTGTGACCTGCTTTTCAGGTGGCAATGTCAAATTAAGTTAAGGCTCTTAATGAGATTGATTGAAAAGTTATGCATGATACAGTGAGGAAAATAAGTATTTGAACATCCTGCTATTTTGCAAGTTCTCCCACTTAGAAATCATGGAGGGGTCTGAAATTGTCATCGTAGGTGCATGTCCACTGTGAGAGACATAATCTAAAAAAAAAAATCCAGAAATCACAATGTATGATTTTTTAACTATTTATTTGTATGATACAGCTGCAAATAAGTATTTGAACACCTGTCTATCAGCTAGAATTCTGACTCTCAAAGACCTGTTAGTCTGCCTTCAAAATGTCCACCTCCACTCCATTTATTATCCTAAATTAGATGCACCTGTTTGAGGTCGTTAGCTGCATAAAGACACCTGTCCACCCCATACAATCAGTAAGAATCCAACTACTAACATGGCCAAGACCAAAGAGCTGTCCAAAGACACTAGAGACAAAATTGTACACCTCCACAAGGCTGGAAAGGGCTACGGGGAAATTGCCAAGCAGCTTGGTGAAAAAAGGTCCACTGTTGGAGCAATCATTAGAAAATGGAAGAAGCTAAACATGACTGTCAATCTCCCTCGGACTGGGGCTCCATGCAAGATCTCACCTCGTAGGGTCTCAATGATCCTAGGAAAGGTGAGAAATCAGCCCAGAACTACACGGGAGGAGCTGGTCAATGACCTGAAAAGAGCTGGGACCACCGTTTCCAAGGTTACTGTTGGTAATACACTAAGACGTCATGGTTTGAAATCACGCATGGCACGGAAGGTTCCCCTACTTAAACCAGCACATGTAAGGGCCCGTCTTCAGTTTGCCAATGACCATTTGGATGATCCAGAGGAGTCATGGGAGAAAGTCATGTGGTCAGATGAGACCAAAATAGAACTTTTTGGTCATAATTCCACTAACCGTGTTTGGAGGAAGAAGAATGATGAGTACCATCCCAAGAACAGCATCCCTACTGTGAAGATGGGGGTGGTAGCATCATGCTTTGGGGGTGTTTTTCTGCACATGGGACAGGGCGACTGCACTGTATTAAGGAGAGGATGACCGGGGCCATGTATTGCCAGATTTTGGGGAACAACCTCCTTCCCTCAGTTAGAGCATTGAAGATGGGTCGAGGCTGGGTCTTCCAACATGACAATGACCCGAAGCACACAGCCAGGATAACCAAGGAGTGGCTCTGTAAGAAGCATATCAAGGTTCTGCCGTGGCTTAGCCAGCCTCCAGACCTAAACCCAATAGAGAATCTTTGGAGGGAGCTCAAACTCCGTGTTTCTCAGCGACAGCCCAGAAACCTGACTGATCTAGAGAGGATCTGTGTGGAGGAGTGGGCCAAAATCCCTCCTGCAGTGTGTGCAAACCTGGTGAAAAACTACAGGAAACGTTTGACCTCTGTAATTGCAAACAAAGGCTACTGTACCAAATATTAACATTGATTTTCTCAGGTGTTCAAATACTCATTTGCAGCTGTATCATACAAATAAAGTTAAAAAATCATACATTGTGATTTCTGGATTTTTTTTTTTTATAGATTATGTCTCTCACAGTGGACATGCACCTACGATGACAATTTCAGACCCCTCCATGATTTCTAAGTGGGAGAACTTGCAAAATAGCAGGGGTGTTCAAATACTTATTTTCCTCACTGTATGTGCAGATCTGCTGCTTTACAAAGTAGCAGTAACATTTATAGTAAAAAGTAGTAGTTGAAGTTTCCATTTACATGAACTATTAAACAATGCTGATATTATATTCACATTAAACCTGCAAGTGAGGATCCTCAAACTTTAGATGCACAAAAAAAAACAACTTTGCTCATCTTTGCAGATTATAACAAACAAATTCTTCAGCTGAGGCCCAACATAACTACAAATTACAGCAATGAACACCGCAGGAGCTTGTTCTTACCTCTGAGGTGACGGAATTGATGCTGGTGCCATCCGAGAGCCCGTTCCTGCGATACATGCTCACAGAGGAACTGGTGGGATGCACAGGTCAGGGCGACAGAGGCCTTTAGCTGGGGGGCACACATAACCTCTCATCCATGCCTGGAGACAGAGGACACAACAAGTCTTTAACCTCTTTAACCAGAACTTGTTTTTTCATTAAATTTTCCCTTAATTAGCATTAAGGTTAGAAAAACATGTTCTCCACACTGTATGATACCATAAAACTTGAAATATAGGCGGGGTGTGTTCATAATAGCCCGAGCTATTAAATGAAGTTTTACTGTCTTTACAGTATATGGTAACAGTTTCTTCTCTGCTTGTATTAGTACTTCAATTTTATTCTTATGCCGAGTAAATTATTTAGACACAAGATTTGTTTTGTGGCTGCACCATTACATCAACTAGAAATATTCTAGATATACGCCTTATGAAACATTGGGATCTTGACTCCTTTGGTCAAATGCAACTGCAATTCATTTTATTTTTTATAAGCCTTCCAACAGTGCAAAATGATGACTATTGCAGTTTGATAAAGTATCTGACAAATCCAGTTTGGCCAAAATCAATTGCCTGTTGCCAGCAGGCTTTTGAACTAAAATTTCTAATCGATAACTCCATTTTTCAGAAACCACACCCATTTCCCTAAACTCTACACACAAATCCCTTCATTTCTCTTCATTTCAAGAGTCATAACTGATAACACACCAATCAGAACCGTCAATAGACAGATAAAAAGGGCCTGAGTTTGTTCATTCAGTTTTGGAACAACGGAGGTCAAGATGGGATAGGAGGAAGATGAGGAGGTGGAGAAGGAGGAGGACAGGGGTGTAGAGAGGAGGTGGAGGACAAGAATCTCTGGCCTGTCCCAGAGCAAAGACAGGACGCGGGGGCAGAATAATTTGTTGTTTGGTGTGTTGTACTGTATAGTACACACTAAGGAATAAAATATGTGCAAATGTACATTTGTTTTTTTGTTGTGTTTATCGTGTGAAAAGGTTTTTGAGGGGGAGAACTACAAGCCACATTATTTCTAACCAGTTTTTGTAGTATTGCTTTGAATTTATCTCACCAGTGTTTAAGACTGTGTTGTGTGTGTTTGTGTGTTTGTGTGCGTTTGAGGGCAAAGTTCGGTTTTTCAGCAAGATTGAATGGTTTTGAGTGGAGAGCTTCATTTTGACCTGAAAATAGGATGTTTGGGGAATTGCGTGAGAGGCTGTGGATTTGTGTTTAGAGTTGAGAAAAAGAGGTATAATTTCAAGAAATGTGTCTAAGCAATTGAGACAAAAAACTGTAATTGACTACACAGTTTAGTAGTAACAATGAGTCTACTGAAATTTAGAAAACCCATGTCTTAACAAAAATGTTGAACCATAGCAAAAAAAATCATCAGCTCCTTGGCACAAAACAAAGTCAAATGTCATGGCAGTGTTGCTAGCAGTTATCAACAGTGGTGTAGTTGTAACTGCAGAAGTGGGGAGCACATTTAATTACCTACCTCCGATAGAAATAACCTCTACTTAATTTCTTAACTAACTTCTAACTTGAAGCAGCAATTTGTGTTTGACTAGTAATTACTGTGTTCCATTAGAAAAACCTATAAGGCCCACTTACATCCAGAGTCAGTTCATCCCACATACAAACTGATAACATTATTGCAGAAAGTAACTGGCAAATCCAGCCATAGTGCAATGAAAATGAAGGCCTTAGTATTTGGCAACAGTTCGGTTTTACCATTCAACTCTTTTTTTATTATCATTTTTGTTGGCAATTATAAGCCTTTATTAGACAGAAGAGATGAAAGAAAACTACATGCACCAGCTGGTTTCATGATCGGCATCTTAAAAAGGGAACTCCACCATTTTACACATCAAAGCGTGTTTCCAGGTGTTGGGGGGTGCTGCTGCATGTGAAAAAAACTTGTAAAAAGCCTTTTGTGTCTCCAGAGGGAGCGGTGTGATAAATGGCCTCACGTGATGCACTTGAGTCGTGTCGGTTGGGTTGAAGACTACAAGTTTGAAAATGAAAGAATTCTATTGTTGCTTGGAGCCTGAAGCCTCAAAGAGAGATGAACAGCCGGGTACAGAACAGACTATGTGGAATAAAAATGACACTCTGATTCTGTTGAATCGATTTTATTTTTTTTCCCCTCAACTGTCCATCTGAGTATGACAATGTTGGGAGAGTATGTGACATTTTTGTTTGTTTGTTTCACTCATTTCATTCATCCACTCATCTATTTCCATCCTACGGAGGAAACTAATTTCAGCCACTTGTATCCACAATCTCATTCCTTCGGTCACTACCACAAACTCGAGACCATTGATGAGAACATGAAAACTGAAAGCCTTTCAGCTCAGCTCCACAATGGTCCAGTACAACGCCACATTACTGCTGATTCCACATAAATCCACCTGTAAATCTACTATACACTCTATTTTAGCCTCGCTGGTGAACAAGACCCCAAGATACCTGAACACCTTCACACGGTCTGATGAAGCCAATCACCTGCAAAGAGCAGAGAAGCAATTCAGAGGTACCCAAACCGGACTCTCTCCTCCCCCCGGCTGTGATTTGAGATCCTATCCATGTGTGTTTGTCATAATGGAAATATGCATACATACACTGATGCAAATCATTTTTTTCACAAGGACTACACATCTGTTTAGCAATTTAGACAGGCTCAGATATTCTGTAGCATTGAACTACTGTAACAAAAGACTGTTTGTTATGCTGCTTATCATCTCTGCCTCATATGCCAAGGTTCTGTACACTGACTGTTGGAAGTACTAAGATGCCCTCTATTGTGCAACTGAAAGGCTGCATGTGTGGCACCCTGGGTATATCAGTAGCTAAGGTTAGTTCTAGAACTGTATTACTTTAGATTGCTACCATAGCCTCTCAATTTTGTCTTGTTTATTCAGTGCTTGAAGTGGGAAAAAAATAGGTGCCATTGAACTCTTAATTTCTGCACCAATTTATGGTGAAAATGTCTTTATTCATATGAAGGGAAACAAAATTAAAAGGTGGCAGGTGACAATTCAAAATATTATGGAATATAATGCAGTAATCAGCAGCTTGTTGTTTTAGCTTAAGTTACTTTTTTGGACAATGCACATTTGTTTCTGCTATACATGTTTCATTTGTTACTTAACATTTATTTTTGTAAGGGGGCACAGAGGGGTCTCTGGTAAACGTAGTGGGTAAAAAGCTTAGACCAGCAATTTTGTCAAAAAATATTTCAGAAAGTTTTCATATAAAATTATAGATGGCACAACACAGTCTGATTTGCCTCTGGCAAGATACAAAAATTTATATGTTCGAAAGCAGTTCTTGGTGCTAGATATTTGCTATTTTCTATGACCATTACATCATGCATACTAGCATTGTGGGTAGGTTTTTACTCTAAAAAGCTGGATTTTAAAGGTATAATGTGCACAATTAATCAAAAATTTATAGAAATCGCAATATGGCCAAGTGCACTTAACAGAGTCTTTGAAAATGTAATTCAGAGTACAATTTAAATTGTGACACATATCATCATTCCCACTAATCGTGAATCAGAAGGCAAATCATAATTTCTGTCAAAATGATCTATATGATTTTTTTTTTTAACCACATCGTGTAGCCCAATTAATGTATAATCAATTCATCAATAATCCATTTATGCCACAACACAGTCAATTCAGAAAATGGGTTTCCAAATACATACTTAACATAGTATAACATAGCAGCAAAAACCAGTATTACCAGCCTCTTGCATGCAGATATTTCATAGCCAGAAAACAAACACATAAGGAAAGAGGAGTTCCCTCAAATGTGACCATTAGATGGCAGTAGACACATATATTCATCTTCCAGCCACAGCAGAAGACCTACACTGTGTCCAGCTCCATACTACACCCTTGATTCTAAGCGTGTTTCATTCTTATTATAGTGTGCTCACACGGGAATGGAGCCATAAGTAAGTATACTCAAAGCCATACAGCTGCTCACAGCTGGACGAGGCTGAAACTAATATATAGATATAGATATTGGTCAAACGGCTCTAGGAACACATTAGAATACTTAGAGCAATTAAATCCTTGAAAAAACATTTTGATTTAAACAACAGTAACAACATATTTCTACAGTAATCACCAACTCTAGTTTGGTCAAAAGAAATCCTTAATTCACAGAGCTAGATGAGAAAAGCAGCAGCAGTTATATCGCTCTCCTCAAAGCCAACAGTTTCACAGCGACGGACTCACATGCAAAAGCCTGCGCGAGTGGCCAGACCAGCTACCAAAACACAGGACAGCTTTGACAGCTTGTATAACAACACACATGGTGGGAACGTGACGCCATTACTCCAATATATCTTTACATAGCAAATAGTTGCTGTTGTATTAATGTTCAGAATCTCATATACATGACCTTTAAAAACACTTGACTTTTGATGGACACCGTTTTCCCACAATGCAATGAAAGAGGAAATAAAAATTAAAAAAAAACTTATTTGGGGATGGTGGTGAAACAGTTCCTGAAAAAATGAAATAAATAAATGTAAAAAAGTAAGAGGGAAACATCTACACATATTGTTCCTCTGACAGTGACTATGTGTTGGACTGGGAAATGCCAAAACATGGGTCCCTCTCAATCCACTGACAGCAATATTTGGAGCCACTAAAATATGAATGAAACCCCTCACGCATGACCTTTGTGTTTCTGACTGCCAGAGGATCCTTCTTAAGTGGAAAGAAAATGCCACCCACCTATACTCATTGGATGAGGGATCTAATGCAGTTTTTGCAGTTAGCAAAGGTTGGGTTCACACTGACTAATACTTTTTATAAAGCCTGGCAGTCATTCACCACCCATGTCAAGAATTTGCAAGCTGGATGACACACTGAGTGGTCTTGTCAGGATAAGAAAGTAAAAATGTAAATGACGACTACAATATATCTACAAATAGTGATTCATAAAAGTGGTGAGTGTCCTGGCAACGAACTACCAGAGTTTTAACATTTATCAAGTACCTGCCCCAAACCTGGACTGGTTCTGTACTTTCTGGTCCACCTCAGTTACGGGCTGGGCCATGATTTTAAATGTTGAGAACAGTA